TAGTCTTCAAAAAAAGATACTCATGGAAAAGAAAGACAAAGATGGGAGATGAGGTAGTGGTGATGGCTGCAAAACTTTGCAAATATACTAAAACCCACTGAATTGTATACTTTAAAAGGATAGATTTTAGGGTATGAGATATATCATCAAAGCTGTTATTTAAAAATAAGAAAAGGGGAACTGTAAGTTAAAAGTGGGTTGAAGATGGATTGATTTTTAACAAAGTGAGATGAACCAGTCTCAGAATGATTTGCAGTCAAGAAGACTCTAAGAGAATATTACTGAAAAAAGGGCACCAGGGATATTTTGGAGTGTATTTAAATAGTGCTACGAAGAAGAGACCCAAAACAACCATAAGAGCCAGATTGAGAAAAGCAGGGAAGGAGAGCCCACGAGGGTAATAAATGAGAAAACCCAGGCTGAGGAGATAAAATTGGCAGAGATAAAGGAGAGAATGAGTGAGGGAGCATTATCTGTCAGTCAGAGAACACTAATGCAAGAGACCTCTAAGAAGTAGCCTTACTGCATGCTCTCGGGGAACCCTCGACTAAATGCCAAAGAAACCTAGAGCAGGCCTTGTAAGGGGTGGGCTAATCCAAACTTCATGCTTAAGCGAAGCGTTTGGAATTTTTAGAAAATTTTACTTCCTACAGATTTCACGGTATAATTTTTAAATGTTTTCCTTGAAAAATGCCACTGAAACTAATAGCCTTCTTCCCTTTTCATTTTTCTTTCTCTCACCTATGTTTTTCTTCCTAACGTCGTTCCCTTTTCCCAAGTTCCTATCCTTACTTGCTTGGCCTGCCTCTGCTCCTGTCTTCATCCGTAATCTCTGGAAAGGTTCCTGCTGCCTCTTCAATTCAGTTATTTAGCTCCTTCATAAATATTTCTTGAATGGAGTAGTTGGTGGCCGAAATCATGATATAGATTCCTGGATCCCCAGCCTCAGTGAGCTTACAGTTTAGTAAGCACTCTCACCCTCCATCCTTTTTCATCTCTGTCTCCCCCGCCAAGATCTTTCCCAGCCCAGTCCTCTTACTCGACTCATCCTACAGTCTCCAGTGGAGTCAGTTAAGGGAATACTGTGCGAACCCTCTCACTGAAGAGGGTGTTTCACTGCTGGGATGCAGTGTCACACAGTGATTACAATAGAGGGCTCTAGTCTCACTGCTCGGGTACAAATCCTCTATTACTTGCTAGCTAAAGGACTGTGGACAGGTCACTTAACCTATTTAAGACTCTTTCCTCATCTATAATACAGGATAATAGTAGAACTTACTTCCTAGGATTATTATCAGAGTAATTGAATTAATATATGCAAAGTGGTAGATGCTAACATATTATAAACCCTATAAATGTTGGCTCTTAGTTGGTGTCAGTATAAAAACAATTCGTTTGGTTACCAGTTGTCTTGTTTTCATGATTAGACTCCAAGCAAAGGCTACCAAGAAACCCTATGAAGTTAAGAATGATTTTGAGAATTTCCTCCATCAACTGGTAAGTTGTTTTTTGTGTTTTGTTTTTTTTTTCTGAAAATAATTGAGAATTCTCTCTTTAGCTTCTCTTACGAAGACTGGAAAATACTTAATAAGCAATATATCATTTTCACATCCAGGTTACAGTAGCAGGATAGAGTACATTCTTGTTATTTAATCATCCACGTGTACATTTAGTATAATCTCTGTCTCATGATTTGTGACAAGTTCATGCTCACTTATCCCCATCTTCACTTCTGACCAGAAGCATTTTATACAACCGAAAACCTCCAAATGCAGTCAGAATTTCAAACTAATAGAAAATTATTGGTGTTTGAAATCATATTTTATTTCCCAGTAATAATTCAACAAAAATATATTGGATTCCTATGTTAGATGAATGACCCTTGCCTTCAATTAACAGGAACATAAGAAATGATAAGGCTTTAAATAGGACTCAAATATAAGAAGGAAAGAAAAGGAAGGAGTTTTCTTTGTTCCCTTCCCTTCTCCTCCTCCTTAACTTACAGGCAATCCTGTTAAACCTAAAGGTCCTTCTTCCCTTCCAACAAGAAAGAACAGGTAGAGAATAGTGTACAATAAATCTGAAGGCTGGACATTCTGAGGTCAAGAGTAAGAGAGAGCTTTTCATTTTCAGCGTGCCAGGCTTCCATGCAACAATCTAGAGCAATCCTCATTGGCTATTGCTGTCATGTCAAAAACAGATCAAAGAATCTACCCAAAGTCCTATGAACCAGAAGGTAACAAAGGAGTACGTGCATGCTAAGTTGCTTCAGTCGTGTCTAACTCTTTGCAATCCTATGGACTGTAGCCCTCCAGGCTCCTCTGTTCATGGGAGTCTCCAGGCAAGAATACTGGAGTGGATTGCCCTGCCCTCCTCTAGAGGCTCTTCCTGACCTAGGAATCCAACCTGAGTCTCTTGAATCTCCTGCACTGTTGGGGTGTTAAATATTAAACAAATAGAACAATTCTTCCACAGACAAAAAATTATTCCTCCCATTATCTCATGATCTCTCTTTACTACTGCTAGAGACACAGGTACAGAGAAATATTTATTTAGTATAAGAAAATTATGGAAGTAAGCTGGTAAAGAGCAAATGACCTCAGCTGGTGAACAGTAAATGGCTTGAGTATTATGGAAACTATATGAGCTGTGGAAAGCATAGCACACTGGAGAGTCTGTGCCTCAGCTAAACATAGCCACTACTTCCTCATGTCTAGGTCACTGTGACTGCAGGAATGGAGACCAAAGTGCTATCAGATCTTTTACCATTTGCAATCCAGCTGCTGCTGCTGCTATGTCACTTCAGTCTTTCTGACTCTGTGAGACCCCATAGATGGCAGCCCACCAGGCTCCTCTGTCCCTGGGATTCTCCAGGCAAGAACAGTGGAATGGGTTGTCATTTCCTTCTCCAACGCATGCATTCATGCTAAGTCGCTTCAGTCATGTCCGACTCTGTGTGACCCCATGGACAGCGGCCCACAAGGCTCCTCTGTCCACAGGATTCTCCAGGCACGAATACTGGAGTGGGCCAGATTCTTCTGTAAAATTCCTGTTTAGGACTCGAGTTTTTAAATACCCTGGAGGTCAAACTATATAAATCTGTAGATCAGACACAGCCTGTGGGCTGCTGGTTTGCAACACCTGCTCTATCTGCTGAACACAGAGCTCTTCAAAATCTGGTTCCAACCAATATCACCGATATTATTCTCCACTACATCCATCCCAAGGCAAACCCTTCACTCCCACCAAGTCTTCTGAACATACAGTGCTTATCCATAACCATATACTTTGGTCATCTGCATTGCCTATTCCCCAGCTTTCAAATTCTATTCATCCTTCCCTCCTGGCTTCCCTTCCCTTGGGCTTCCCTGGTGGCTCAGAGGGTAAAGAGTCTGCCAAGACCCAGGTTCGATCCCTGGGTTGGGAAGATCCCCTGGAGAAGGAAATGGCAACCCACTCCAGTATTCTTGCCTGGAGAATCCCCATGGACAGAGGAGCCTGGCGGGCTACAGTCCACACAGACCCAAAAAGTTGGACATGACTGAGGGACTTCACTTTCTTGAGCCCTCCCCTTTCCACAAATGAATTCAATATCTTTCATAATTTCTAGAATAACACCAGGTTATGGTTTCATTGGAAAAATAGTTTTCTTCAAGCCAGACATCAAGATAACTACGGGAGTAGATTCAAACTTAGAATGGCTATGTCCTCCAAAGCAGAGTGTGCACAAGAAATGTTTTCTTACCTATTTTGTAAAAAACGTTTCTCATGTGAAAAATTTAAATAGAATAGCAAAGCAAAAGCAAGTGCATTTTTACAATAATTCAGGTATCTTCAAAGAATTATATATCAATCAACCATAGATCTTCTGTTAAAAATGGATAATTATTAAAGGATTATAATTTTTAAATCAATTTTTTAAATGCAAGCAAATTTGACTTAAGTTTTATCAAGTGTTTACCTTTCTGCTAAGAATAAAAATGTACCAAAATTTATTTTAGAATAGAATAATGGATTTCCTAGTGCTTGTATATGACTGCTGTTCTTTGAGAAATGTTACAACCAATTTTGTCTCAGCCTCTCTGAAACTGAGATTCAAGAAGATGCGCAATATTTGAGCAAAGCCAAGCTGAGGATAACAGAAAATTATGATAAACTTCTGGATAATTTATGCCAGATAACTACTGTCCCTCAATTATCTGACTATGCCAACGAAATGCTTTTTGGTCTAAATTGTGATATAATTCAGGGAGGCCTTCCTGTAGTCTATCTGGGGGATAGCCACTCATTAACCATAACCATGAGGCCAAACTTTCTGCCCATTTTGATAAACAGGCATCTACCGACAACCCTACCCAATCCCAGAACCCACTCTCAGCTTTTTCATGCCTCACCTGCATGCCTCACACCTGCCCTACATTGGTTCACATATACAAACAAGCCTTGCTAGACATACAGTGAAGGATGCAAGGCACAGATGGATTTTCCTAGAATAGTAAACCTGCATCCTGGACTAGAGAGGCATTTAAAAAAAGGTAGGATAGAGTGGGAATAAAGTAAATTCCGTGAATAAATTGAGTTATCTGAATTAATATTTGGATGATTCTCTATTTCCATGTGCACAGAGATAAAAACTTGAAGTTGTTTTTTTTTTTAATCTAAAGTTTCTCTACTATGATAGAGAAAGCTCAGGCCAAAAGAATTGAAAGTAATTGTTTATATGATATCAAATGGTTAAAAAAATTAAATCAGCCTGGGATTTTCTTCCTGAATCCAGTTTTTGAAAAAATTTAAGTGATCCCCCTCCAGTTGATAACTGGGAGAATCTCACTTTCAAGTATACAATATCCAGAAAAATCTGTGAATCCTTAATAGTGTATTATTTTAATAGCGTTTTGAAGCTCTAACTGAGAGAGAATTTCTGGCATCACTGTCATCATCATCATCATCAACAGAAGACTACAACCCTGAGGAAGAAGAAAGCCAGGAGAAATCAGAAGTAAACTGTATTTAAGAATGTATGTTTAATTCAGGTACAATTCATGAGGTAACAGTACTGATGGTCTTTTAACCATGTGTCTTTAAAAATCTTGAAATCAATAAATCTAAGTAAATTATCTTAAGAGATCTCTATCCAAGCATAATTTTCACCCTTATTGGTAGAAAACATATTTCAGGTGGAAAAATCATCTTTTTGAAGCATAGGGAGCTTTCAACCATTTCTTTGGAAATATATCTTGATAATAGCAACCATTTCTTAATAATACAAAACAGAAGGAGGATTAATTTACTGTGGCATAAGAAGTCCTGCCAGTCCCTAAATGCTCTAAATCGTTTCTTGGAGATTTTTTACATTGTTTAGGCCTCAAGGAAAACCAAAGCTCCACCTCCAGGTTTGGTAGCAAACAAACTCTGCTTCTCCGGCGCTAAGCTTCGGTTGCTCCTCTGGTAATAGGCTTCGTGCACATTTGCCAGGAAGCTGGACAGCTTGTCATGTCTTTAAAAATCTTGAAATCAATAAATCTAAGTAAATTATCTTAAGAGATCTCTATCCAAGCATAATTTTCACCCTTATTGGTAGAAAACATATGTCAGGTGGAAAAATCATCTTTATGAAGCATAGGGAGCTTTCAACCATTTCTTTGGAAATATATCTTGATAATAGCAACCATTTCTTCATAATACAAAACAGAAGGAGGATTAATTTACTGTGGCATAAGAAGTCCTGCCAGTCCCTAAATGCTCTAAACCGTTTCTTGGAGATTTTTTACATTGTTTAGGCCTCAAGGAAAACCAAAGCTCCACCTCCAGGTTTGGTAGCAAACAAACTCTCCTTCTCCGGCGCTAAGCTTCGGTTGCTCCTCTGGTAATAGGCTTCGTGCACATTTGCCAGGAAGCTGGACAGCTTGTCAGCAGGTACTATTGAAACTGTGCAGCCTCCCCATCCTGCTCCAGTAAGTCGTGATCCTTGAGCCCCAAATTTCCTAAAACAATGAGAAAAAAAATTAGAACTTGCAAATGAAAATGAGAGTTGATTTTCCTGGTGCTTCAGAACACTCTAAGAACTAAGGCAAGATTATGTGGTATGCTTTGTTTTGTGGGTTTTTGTGGGTTTTTTTTTTTTCAGTGTTGTCAAATATTTTAGGACATTACAAAATTTGTACTATTGTCAGAAGGTGATTTGAAATTTAATTGTATCTGAAACTAGCCCCAAGTTTTGGCTCTTTAGTAAAAGTCAGTAGTACTCCTGTTTCATGAGGGCTAACAATAACCCCTGTAGTCTTGATTCCATAAAGCCAGCATTTGAAGAGTTATAGAACAAGTCTTCAGGTGATCAAGAAGAAGGAGTAAAAAGAAAACAGGTAGTACATATAATCAACAGTATGAATCAGAAGGTTGCTCCATAAGAGGGCAAATCAAAATTTAAAGTGCAAGTCTGATACATACAAGCGAGAGCTTCCTCTGGTGGCTATTTAAGCTGCATTCAGTCACCTAGAACAGATTTGTTCTAAATGAATTTATCAACAAAGAATGCTACTAAACTCTAAGTTAGTTTACCTGCTAATCTCTAAAGGGAAATTATGCAGACCTTTCCACAAGAGGGTAGTGGTTCACCAGGTCCATCCCCATTCTCCCTGTGCCTTCAGGAGCTGGTTCTGATGACTGGACTCAGAATTTCTCATCTGACAAAATGTGTGGTTGAGATGGAAATGACTATATAAGCCTCCATGCAGCAAGATGTAATTTTAGTCACCATCAACCAGGCAGTTTCAAACCTAAGATTTATGCTAAAGTGAAAGGCCCTACACAAGTACAAAGATCACTCATCTTTAAAAGATGCAATTTATCCTGACAAGAACAGTTCACATGTGCTTCCAAATTCATCCTAATAAAATTTACTCCAAATTCATAGCAGATTAAGAATTTCATAATTAATTTAGCATAATTCTGTCCCTTTTTTCCATCTAAATGAGCTACTTTATTTCCTGGAAAATATCAATAGAATATTACCCCTATTCTAGGACATGAGAATTATTGCACATCAGTAATTCATTTCCCCCTCAATGATTTTCTCAGCTGATTTCTTTTCATCATCTGTTATATTCATTAAAATGTTTTTCTTATGAAAGTAGATGTCTAGAGAAGAAAACAAAAATGCTTGCAAGCAAATAGATTATTCATCTCCTCCTGCCCCTCAAACATTCAATTTATGGCCCAGTAGGTAAATGGAGGCTAAACTGAAAAGTTTCACTTACCCTGAGATTCTAGTATTATCTTGAGTCCCTAGGCTGGCAAGGGGCTAGTTTGCAATTTGGTGGAATAAAAAAAAAAAAGTGGTCACACAGCCATATGAAACTCTCTCTTCTTGTGAAATATGCTAGAAAAACAGAGGTGTCACTGAAGTATCTCTGAAAGACACTAAAATCTAAGCATCAAAGCCAGCATGGTATGGTTTAGAGAACAGTATGCCCTCCTATTTGATTTTCTAAGACCCAAACTATGCCATTTTTCTGGACTCAAGTAAACCAAGACTTTTATGGTCTTCAGTGAACTTCTAGGCATATTTTCTTACACTTTCTCATTTGAACAGTTTTTGAAGACTGTGGTCTCAAAACTGAATCTAAAGCAAACTGAAAGTGTTTCTAACTGGCTGCAAAACCCATAGGAATTGTGCCAGGGGGCCTAATTTCCTGACTCTCCTGCCAGTTTCCAGAGGGCAGACACTAGAAGTCTTTCTAGGTAAATCATTCACTTTTAAGTCTCCAGAGCTGCTCTGTCACCACCCTGCTTGCTACAAATGAAAATGAACTGGATTGCATCAACCACATGGTCTGAAATCATCAGCGCTCAAATTTCCTCAGTAGAGAACAGTAAGTGCTATCATAAACAGCCCTCTGCCCCTGAGTCAGTGGCACTGTGATCACAAACCAGGTGTTGCCCCAACAGCTAATCAGCAGCCTGCCCAGCTATACACACTCACAAAGGCAGCGAGATCCTGCCTGCAATGTGCCCTGCTGGAATGTGGCCATAGAAACTGTGTGAGAGAGCCAGCTTTAAATCAAGAAAAAAGTAGGTGAGCTAAGGGTGTTAAGTGAACTTTTCACAATTGCATTTTTTTCCTGGGAAACTAGTGAGACATTAAAAATAGAGCTCCTGAGCTATGGCACATCAGAGAAGCAATACAAATACTAGGAAAACAAAACCCCTAAAATCCCAAACATCACTTTGATAACTGTGGTCAGTTGATTGGGACTAACATGGAAGGTTTGGTCAAAACAACAAAAGCAGCCTCAGCCTTATAAGGCGTGATCTACAAAACAAAGACTAGGGCAGATACAGATTATAAGGAATGTTCCCTTTGATCCCTTTTATCACTGAAAAGTGTACTCCTATAACCAGCTTTCCAGACACCTAAGTATAGCCTGAATAAAATTTTCTACTTTTAAATGAACTGAGTTGACCATAAAGTACTGACTAAGGTGGCCTTGAGGGAGGAGGTGGGGAGAGATCCAGTAAGTCCCAACTTTGCCACAAATTGCAGAGGGAAAGCAAGGAATTGTGCCTTGTATTTTAATTCAATTTTATTTCAAGACATATATCAATATATAAATAGATATTAAGTTATTTCAGAAAAATCTTGAATTTAGGGACAGGTTATTATCTATCTCTCTAATTCCAGCCCAGCATAATTCCAGGTGTTTGGTAGTTTCTAATAATTAATGTTAAAAACTTCAATTATGTGAAACAAAGTAGAATAATAAAGGAAAATGATGATGCTTGCCCAATTATAAAATAAAACAACTTGAGACAATTATATGTGTATTATATATATATATATATCATCAGTAATGTACTCTTTTTCTGGAAAGACTTCTAGCTTCTGCTCTAAGAGTATAATTTTCTGAGTAGAATCTTGGGAAAACACAGCTTCTAGAACAGTTTCTATGATTTTTATTAGAAACACTTTCAGATTGCTTTTGATTCAAGAAACCATAGACTTCAGTGTTCAAATGAGAAAGTATAAGAAAATATAACCACATACCATTTTATAAATGTAAGCCACAAAGGTCACTGAAGACCAGCTGGTTTGTCCTGCAAGTGGCATACACATTGGGGGAGGGGAGTGTAGAAGCAGGGGGACAATAAATGGAGGACAGAAACTCAAAGAGAACTGAGCCCCTAAGGCAGGTGAATGGCTCTCCTCCTTTTTCTTGACAGTGTTCAGATTAGCCCATAAGATCATGAGGAAAAGAGCACACACAGGTGGATTTACACTTCATTCTTCCCTACTCCCACCTGCTTAGGAAAATGGCTGCAAGAAGCTAAGCTGCACAGCCAGCCATGGAAGAAAGTTGTGGGAAGACTTCTGAGGAAACCCACAAATGAACTTCTGTAACCTTTGTTGGTCTTTTAAAACTTGTTATTTATCTTCCTTAGTAGCTTGGGCAATAACACCTCAGTGAGTCCTAATTTCAACAAGTGTCAAAATGGAAGTAAAGGCATTAACTATTTTTTGAGTATTATATAACCGGGGAAACCAATAAAGAATGAGCTGTCTCATATATTATTTCAAAATTATTTCAAAATTATTTCTCATATATTATTTCTCATATATTATTTCAAAATTGTTTTATATTCCTCAAGAAATCCCATTTTCTTAAAATTCACACTTAGTTCAATTAAAAGAATCATTTTATAATTGGGCAAGCTTCATCTGTTTTCTTCATTATTTCATATAATTGAGGTTTTCTAATTTAATTAGAAAAATAAACCGTCTAACTGAATAAGTATAATTTCCTTCTCCCTCTCTGGCCCTTTCTTTGGATTTTAAACTGATCTTCTCTTGAAAAGCAGTAAAAGGCTCAGCTGAAACAAATTCAAGCATCTGTGATCTTTTTTCCCCCACTTCTCTCCACTTGAGTCATAAAGATGTCCTATAGACGAGCTACCTACAGCCACCTAGCTCAGATCACATTAAGATTTGTAGATAGTGCCAAGTATTCTACATATCAAATCCTTCATTCACTCAATCAGTCAGTTGTCTTTTCAAGCAAATAGTTTCCAAGCAGGCCTTCAGAAAAACAGAATTTTAAGTGCCACAAGTGGACCAGGGAAGGTGATCTAAAGAGAGTCTTTAGCAGTGCTCCTGCTCAACTTCAGCTTCCCTCTTCTGATCACCACAAGGCAACCAACCTTCTCAGGCTGCCCAGTCTTAGTCACAACTTGCCCGTTGGTGTTAACTTTTTTTAATGAGACAGGGAATTATGGAGGTGGTGGTGGTTCTTACACAAAACAGAACTCTACCAGACGATGACTTTATGGTACCAGTGGCCCATACCAGCCCATACCTTGCCAGGTCCTTCCCAGCACATCCCACACTTGCTTGCCCACTAAGATAGTCGTAAAGCTGCAGAAGGAACCAGGGCTTAAGAATGTTGCCATTTTAATTTGAATTTTTTTCATTTACCATTTACTACTCTTCTACTGCCTTTCTCTCCTGTTTTAACCATTCTGTTTTACCACTATCTTGCATTCTTCTGCATTCCTCCCTTTTCCCCTCGTACATCCACATAAAGGAAAGTGCCAGAGCTTTTGAAAATGGAGTTTAGACTACAGTTTCCTGTGGGACACAAATAGCCCTATGAAAAGTATGTGCTGACTTAGGAAGTCATGGCATTAATGACTACATCTACTTAATTCTCCCAGAGTATCCTACTCTGAGGTGGCTCTGCTACTCAAGACCTTTCAACTGGCATATTTGGAGAATATCACCTGCTGCCCACAGTGACAGCAAAGAGAAAATTAATTATTTAAGAAGCTAAGAGGCCAGAAAACTATTTTAGCCAATATTTCCAACATGCCAAAAGATAATCTTTCAATATGGAAAATTCAGTCCAAACAGTCCATATAGAATAAGAAGTAATTTCGATACTTAACAACTCCAAACAAAACAACCATAAAAAAGGGAGTGAGCTACTTAAACCAGACCCAACTGAAAATCAGTACAGCAGATGAAAATGGTCTAGACAGAGACAACTTAGCCGCCATTAAGAAAAGGAGTTTCCAAAAACAAATGAAAAAGCAAAAGGCATGTTCTTCCGAACCCTTTTAAAACACAGCCACTAAATCTTCCACTAGAAGCCCATTTTCAAAATATATATATATAGATCTATAGACTGCTAGAACAGAAAAACATATTGGAGATCATAAAGCAAGGTGACAGTTCAAAGTCACAAAGCTCAGAATGAAACAAGGCAGAGCTAGAACGCATCCTTCCTAAATTCCAGCCCAGTTTTCACCCTTCTCCACACATTGCCCTCCCCTGCTCAGCATGGCTTTGCTCCATGTTCAAATACTGCAACCTATAGAAAACCAGAGTCTGCATCATTAAAGTTTTAATAAAGGAAAACAGGTTAAAATAAAGTCCCTCATTCAAATACATCTCAGCCTCCCTGGTGGCTCAGATGGTAGAGAATCTGCCTCCAATGTGGGAGACTCGGGTTCAATCCCTGGGTTAGGAAGATCCCCTGGAGAAGGGAATGATAATGCACTCCAGTATTCTTGTCTGGAAAATCCCATGGACACAGGATCCTGGAGGCCGGGCTACAGTCCATGGGGTCACAAAGAGTCAGAGGTGACTGACTGACTAACACTTTCACTTTCAGTATAACCCAAGGAGAGAGAAACAGGTGTGGCAAAAAAAAAAAAAAAAAAGAAAACCACTGGATGGGGAGCTAGGCTTTTCCCACTGACTCATTATGCTACCTTGTTCCAATCTCTTACCCTCTTAGAACTCTCTTGGATCTCTAAGGCCTCTTCCTGCTTTCGTATCTTATGGAACTAGAAGATCATTCTGACCCAGAAATGTGAAGCCTGGCCCCCCAAAATATGCTTTTCACAGAAACAAGGAAATTTTCTCTGGTCAAAAACCCAGAAGTCATCTTGATTCCTCACTTTCACCCATATAGCAATCTTCTTGACTCTTCCTTCAAGGCACATCTGACATAAAATCAATTCACACTTCCATTGCCACCTTTTTCCACTCAGAGTCCTTCCAGTGGCCAACAAGCTTCAGTGGTTTGACTTCCCATGACCTCTCCTACTTCATCACCTTCTACCCTCTCCTCCTATACGCCCTCCATGTGTACTGTTCCTCACATGTGGTAGTCACTGTTCTCATTTCTTCACTTCCTTCAGGTCTTTGCCCAACTATCTCTTCAGAGAGGCCTTCTTCAGCCAGTCAATATAAAGACTACCCACCCACCCCTAGGACTCTCCAGCTTTTCTATTTTTTTAATAACACTTAGCAGTCCCACTCTATTTTTAGTTGTCATTTCCCTCTTTACCCATGTGAATGTATGCTGCATAAAGAGCTGGTTGACCATGCCAGAACAAGAAAGTCTATTTGAGAATTCCAGGAGGCTGGCAAATACCCCTCCACTGCTTTTCAGATGGAATTCAAACTATCCTACTACCTTCTTAGCAAAGATGCTTTTGCCTAATTTATGCAGAAATCATTCCACTTCCTGTTATTTCCAGAACTGAACAATATCTGCCCTTGATAGTTTCAGAAAAGAGTACTTACAACGAAACAAGCTCTGAAAGCCTTTTTGGCAGATAGTAAGGAAACACTGACAGAGTGATTTTCAGCAAGGTTGTGTTCAAATCTCTCAACAAGTTGGGTTACACATGCCATTTGCGATCACTGGAGCTACTTGGTTTAAACTTTTCATGCTGAGAGTGTGGCAATGAGTGAGGCAAGCCGCAGGCGCCAAGTGGTTAATTACATTTTCATTGCTAATTGCAGGCAGTTCTTTATGATGATTTTCTCACAATGGAAAGAACATCAATCCATTTGAGAGTTCTCCCAATTTCCCTTTCTGTCCTCCAAGGTCAGTGAGTTCCCTTCTGGGTAAAGGAACCATTCTACTCTATTATCCCCATTCTCCAGCAATTATAAGGACGCTGTTCTCAAGCTTTATGAAAGAGTTTCCCTCTTTACATTTGTGTTTCAACTGTCCATTCATAAACTGGGCTTTCTTCAATCCTTTTCCCCATATTGTCTAACCTAAACCTGGAAAACAGGAAATGCTGCCTCTGAGTAATTCCTATGGCATCCTCTCCCCTGATACACTTCTGTTAGGCTTGAGGTCCTCTTTCCTTTCTCTCTCCTCTTTTGAATAAAACTGTTAAACTTAGGACACCAAACAGGAGATGCTGGTAAAGCTGCAGTGTAGTGGAAACAATTGCTTAAAATACCATGAGAAATTAACAACAGGGTCTGTGTCTGAGAAAATCTCCCTGAAACATCATCCAAAAATGGAAAAGTCTTTTTTTATGATGTTGTGAAGGACTGACTCCAAACCTGGAACCTCATAAAGCCATGGAGTTGAGTCTACAATCTTTTATCTTACAGATTTTCAGGAGGGAACAAGTCTAGCTGTATGTCACAGACAAACTCTCTGATACAAAGTGGGAAGGATCTTCCTTCACTGAGAAGATTACAAAAATGCTGCTTTCTTCCATTAAACAGTTTCCCTGGTGGTATCCCGCTTTTTTTCCCCATTAAACAGTTTCCCTGGTAGCATCCCGCTACACTGCTCTTTCAGCCTCACCGACAGATGTCCACCAGCTGGTCCAGCTCAGGGCAGCTACACTCGTACATGTCCCGGCAGCTCATGTGGCTCTGGTTCATTAACTCCCCCAGCAGCTGGACCATGTTGTCAGGTGTTTCTTCACATATCTTCTTAAACTGGAGCACTCTCGCAGCCTCACTGTACACGTGCTTTGCCCGCTGGTAGAGTTTGAAGGTGAGCACTTAGGAAGGAAGATTATGGTGGACAGAGTTAGAAACAGTTACTGGCCAGAAAAAAAAAATTTTTTTTCAAAAGAAAAAAAGAGTTACTGGATAATTCAGTGCAAAGAAAAATACAGTTATTGAGAACTTCCATTTCTGTCTTTATTATTATTACCTTAGATTTTAAATAGGTCTTTCTGAAAGATTGCCTTATAGTCTAAATTACTCTCTTTTCAAGTTAATTTTACTTTAAGGTCACACATCTAGAAAGTGGCAAAGCAGAACAAGTCATGATGTCTTATACATTCTTTCCACTCTCATCCACCAGAAAGAAGCCCTGAAAATGCTTATGCTAGAACTTTTAATAAAAATGTTTCTTAGAGATAAGCACAATTACTTCTATATGTGTGTGTGTAAAAAAACACCTGTATATATGTGTATATTTTGTAGCATTAGTTATCACAGCAGAAACTAAGAATGAATCCACATTGCTAACAACAGAATTATGCTTTTTTAAAATTATGCTACATCTATTAAAAATATTATGCTACACTATTGCTACTAAAGCATCTATTACTCTATGGGAAATTGTTCATTATTAAGTGAAAACATAAAATATAAAACTATACATTTTAATTTTTAAAAATTATAAGAAAGCACCAAAATGTTAACAGTCATCATCTCTGTGGTACATTGTGGATGGCTTTATTTTCTTCTTGAAGTATTTCTGTGCCTTCCAGATAATCTGGAATGACTCTTACTTCAGTTATAGAAACATGTCCTATTGTGATGACTGTGTTTATAGAATTCATATGTTCCCTTGAATAGCAATCAAAACCTTCTTACCATCTTCACCCATGCTGAACAGTGGCTGAGTGAGTGTGGTGCCTCTGGGAAAAACTTGAAAAATACATGGAGGCTAATCTGCCAGTCCTGCTGGAAAGAGCCTGGGCTAAGAATCCAAAGGTCTGTCATATCTTCTCAGCCATGTGACAACTCACTGTACTCAAGTTGCTATTTCTATAAAGCTTTATTTCCCCATCTTCAAAATGAAGTTGAAAATTATTTCTCAGGATCATTTCAGCTCTAACATTTTATGATTCTATGAAGAACTCCCTCCAAACATTCCCCTCATATTGTTATATTTTGAGAAGAGGATGATAATTGTTCTACTCTCTGCCCTTATCTACTCTGCTGTCTGCCCTAGGAGGCTGACTTGGATGGACTACACCAATGGGCTCCCTTGCCTTTAGATTAGAAAAAGGGAGAAGATCAATGAGAGGTGGGACAGAAGAGAGTGAAGTTGTAGGATCTCTCCCTGGCTCCCTCCTTGCAGAGCCACCTGAAGCTGGCCCTGTCCCCTCAACTGAAGGACACTGAACATACTTTCAAGGTAGCCTTTTCTACATGATTCTATCTTCCAGGGTCTGCCTCCAGGTTCCTCTCCCCTAGAATATTACTGCTTTTTCCGTAGTGCTTTTATAATTTTGTATTAAAAAATACCAAATGCATGACAACATACTTAAGAACCAACAAATTATATTAAAGCTTTAGGTTACATTTTTTCCCTCCACAGTACCACCCTCATAACTCATATACTTATCATATACTTTCCATAGTAATTGTCTCCCCAAAGTTTGCCAATTCCTGAAGACAGAAACCAGGTCTTCTGGTTCCATGCATTTGATAGTCTGCAACCTTGTACTCCACAGAACCTTCACCAGTGCCTTACGTGACAAGTGCACAATGGGTGTTCACTGTTGAACATTCAGAAGGATGATTTAATTCCAGTTCAAAATCAAGATACCTCCATTTAGACATTGTTATTATAAAAAAAAAGTGCAGTGCCAGTACTCACAGATTACTAAAAATGTAGAAGTTTGAGGAAAGGGAACAGCCAGATTCCCCTTGGTATTGAATCTACAACTACTGACACTACATAGGGTGAAAAATAAGACAAAAAATGAACTTACAAGTTAAATGTAGGTGGGGATAAAAATACAACAACATGCTTTGCTCCATCAGTAGCCAGGTCATGTGACTCAGTGCACACTGCAGTGTGAATTTGTTATTTCCATCAATAGGTTCAACGGAAACAGGAATATTAAATATTACTGGGAATTGTTATATATTAAAATATATTATTTTAGGGTCTAGGTATCAAAATATATTAAGGTAAGAAAGTCTTAACAATACCCAATACTGGCACACAGCATCTGCGACAAAGCTGTCTGAAGAAAAAGCACTAGCAGATTTAACAAGAACTCCTTCAAAATCCCTGAATAGAGAAAGGAAGAGATGGGCCATTGATAGGCATGCATCTACCTTAGACAGTACCAATAATTTTATACATGTTAATATAATCCATGTATATAAAGAAAGCTGAGCGCCAAAGAACTGATGCTTTTGAACTGTGGTGTTGGAAAGACTCTTGAGAGTCCCTGGGACTGCAAGGAGGTCCAACCAGTCCATCCTAAAGGAGATCAGTCCTGGGTGTTCATTGAAAGGACTGATGTTGAAGCTGAAGCTCCAATACTTTGGCCACCTCATGCGAAGAGCTGACTCATTTGAAAAGACCTTGATGCTGGGAAAGATTGAGGGCAGGAGGAGAAGGGGACAACAGAGGATGAGATGGTTCGATGGCACCACCGACTCGATGGACATGAGTTTGAATAAACTCCAGGAGTTGGTGATGGACAGGGAGGCCTGGTGTGTTGTGGTCCATGGGGTTACAAAGAGGCAGACACGACTGAGCAACTGAACTGAACTGAACTGAATATAATCCAGATTATAGAATACACATTTTGAAAGGGAGGAAAATGACTTTGGTAACTATAGTTTTAAAATATTTTAAAAAGTTGACATTGAAATAAAATGTTTAAAATTCTAGCTTCAGGATTCCATGTTTCAGTTTTATTTGTGAACTATTCCACCTCCCTAATCATGGGCCAAGTTGCAAAATAAGAGCATGGGGGTAGGGTGGAGGGCATACACAAGAAGAGAATATTGGTTCATTTTTACTGTAATGTCTCATTTCCAAAAAATCATCTAGTTTCCAGGTCCACTGATGTTTATGGCTGCAGCACAAAAGTCACAATAAAGCAACATCCACTAACATTGTAAAATAGTGCTATTTAGCTGACAAATTGCTCTGTTATGTCACAATTTGCAAAGAATTTTTTAAACTTCAAATTATATACAGGACAACAAAGGAAATACAATAGCATGTTCCATATGCCCATCACCTAGACCAAATAATAATTTTTTGCTCTATTTGCTTCAATATTTTGCTATTGTTTTAAATTATACATGTGACATTTCCTTCCTATATATTTCAGTGTGCAACTCTATAAAATAAGGATATTTTCTTATATAACCTCTGTATCATTATCACATCTAACAAAATTACCAATGATTCCTTAACATCATCTTATATTCAGTCCATATTTGAATTTTCCCAGTTGTTTCAATTTCAGTCAATTTACAGCAGGATCCAAGCAAAGTCTACACATTATATTCAGTCTTATGTCTAATAAGTCTCTTTTAATCAAGAATTTACAGTGATTTTTGATACTCTGGAATGTCAATGTCATATATATATAAAATACATTTTAGGGCCATATCCTGTAATAAAATTCAATACCAACAACAACAACAAACAGTCCATTAGCAAGAGCATACTTTGGTTTTCCTCTAGGACTACATAGTTCTTTAAGATTAAATATTTTTCCTTTAGGATTAAATATTCTCAAGTAGAAACTATCTAGAGAGATGTGGGGGGCTTTTTATATATTAAACCTCAGGACTGGTGTTCTGATTTGTGATAAGCAACATTCAGAAGGTACTGAGCAGATTACTAGAACCTCCCTGTGTCTACTCTGTTCTGTCGAGTGTTTTACAGCAAGGCTTCAGGACAGGAATGTCTAACGAGGCTCTCGCTGGGCATTCTGAAGGTGCGTGAGAGACTGCCATGGCTCATACCCCCTCAACAGCGGTAACTCGGACACCAAAGGAAAGGGCAGAAAGGGCATCTGTTTTCAGTTGTGATATAAACATCTTGCCAAAGGCTACAACAGAGTTGCAGACCACCCTTCGGGAGGGAAAGCAGTTCTGCACTGATGCAGACATCACAAACGCTCTCTGGATCCAGGGTTCTGGCTTGTTATACGCTGGCAATTCAGCAGGTCTCTGTTGTGTAGATACCAGAAAATCCAAGAAAATCTGAAACTCTGTGGACAAAGCTTTTTTCCTTGTCCAGTTAAGTTTTAAAATGGAAATTAGCCTCCAACTAATAAAAATTTAAAAAAAAAAAAATAAATAAAATGGATGCTCCATCTCTCTTATAATCCTTGAGGGCAACGATTATATTAAAGGATGAAGGAATTGTTTCTTACTGCATGAATGCTCACTGCTATATGACTACTTCCAACACAAATACAGTTTAAGAATATAATACCCGGTGCCATTTTTCTGAAACATTGCCAGTGTCCTATCCTATCCATGGGAAATCTGAGGCTTCAAAGTAGGATATATCATGTGTATTCTGACACAATCACTTTCTCCTCTGTGAATATTTGGTAATTACTGAATCTGATCCTGAAATCATGGCAGAGATTCTGAGATCTAAATGATCATAGCTATATACATTTAAACTGTAATAATTGTACAGTAAGTTCACTTGAATAATTTATTTGCTAGTTCTAAAATCTCCTTTCCCGATGACTTCCTTGCTGAGCCTCCAGCTCACCACACAGGCTCCTGCCTTGGGACCCACTGCATCAGCTGTTCTGTTGCTTGCCCTGGAATGTTCTTCCCCTGATCTTGACATGACTAGCCCCTCATAGTCATTCAAGTCTCAGATGTCACAGCATCAGGAAGATGTCCCCCATCTCCAACCCAGAATAATCACACCCACACAAACACACACACACATACTCTTTCCATCCTATTTTTTTTCTCCCAAAACTGTTTTATTTATTCTCACAAATATTGTCCAATTTTCTTATGCTCATATGTTCACTGGCCTGTGCTTATCTTTCAACACTGGAAGTTCA